AACGTCCTGAAAGCCATTTTTAGAGTGGTTTCTCATGGTTTCTCATGGTATTCTTCACCCAGAGTGACAGGTGCAAGATCTGCAAGGTCCGGTGAAGTGTTGTGTTTTGTGAAACCATGTCAGCTAGGTCAACTGCTGTCAGAGGCGCGAAGAGGTATCAAGAGGGCTTTGCTTTTGGCACCGTTTTTCCAATCCCAACACGACCTGTTTGGGACTGCCGGACTGCCGAACAGGCCAGGGGGTGGTTGACCAGGGGTTGTTCTCACCCTTGAGGTCACAACGCCGGTGGTCGCGTGAACACAACGCACAGCATTGACCTGGTCGTGTCTTAAACATGGATGATCCCTCCATGTGCCACTTGGGTCCCTTTGGAGAAACACATGGAAACATGGGACGTTTGAGGCGTTTGCAAGGATCACACATGAAAGGTTCAAGAATCGTATACCATATGCACATCCTTGCACCCGACCTTTTTGTTCCGAGTTATGGTGGCTGAAATGGAGACTTCAAGGTGGCAGGTTTCAGTGTCCTTCTTTCAGGCACCTTCTTTCCACCTGACAAGCGGAGAGACGGCATCGTCACACTGAGGCCCGTGGCCAGTTCTAGGCGGGGTCGGAAGTTCATTATCGTAGGGTGACTTGCCCCAGCTTGGGAGCTGCCACTTCCCAGCTGGAAGACCCCCAGATTTGGCCCCACCTCCCAGATTTGGTTCCAAGTTCCACACAAGAGGCATGACTCAAGTGCGGAAGTCTTTGTCCATGTTTGAAAGACCCATGTTTGGAAGACCGTGGGATGAGTGATGAGTGGCGTTCGGCTCATGGCCGCCGGTCGCTTCACTTAGGTCGGCTCATGGTCACCGGGAGATCCTCCGAACAGCGGCCTCCGATGGGAGTCCAATGAGAGTCACGGTGTACCTTACACTGCTTACAGCTATAGGGGCCTTGTGGAGTGCCTTGTGGATCCTGGGGCCTTCATTGATTCATTGGACAGCTATATGGGATGGTCCCTTTACTCCGATTGTTTCTGATGGAAAGCCATCAGGTCCTCGTGCCAACAAGGCCTCCGTCGGTGAACTGCACAGCAGCTACACGTGTGATTGATGCAGTGAGTCATTTGGTCTCATGCGACCGGCCGCGACCGGTCGCTGCAGGAAGGACCAGCTGATTCCTCCACTGCATCTTGGCACGGACACCGGGGCTTCGTGGCCCGACAGGGCGAAGCTGGCCAAGCTCGGCCCAAGCTAGGCCACGGCCACTTTCGGAGATGCCAAGAGGAACTGGGGGGGGGTACTTATGTGCGGAAAGAGGCATCTCCGGATGAGCTGTGACCCTGTCATGAGCTGAAAGGATGTTTTTTTCTCCGTGGAGGCCACCCCCATGGCTAGAACCAGCCCAACTGAGACTCAGTTCGTCCAGCATGTATGATGCCATGAATTGCTGTATGTAACAAGTCCTGAACAAGCCTGTGTCCAAAATCTCTAAATTGACCTTTGTTTCTCTCTCTTGCACCTACAGACGTCTCTTTTTTCAAAGGCCCTTTGCTCTCCAAGTGAGTCCAAGTGTTTTCATAAGTGGGCAGCCACGAGATCTTGGGAGGGTGAAAGAAGGCTTCCGAAGATCGCTTTGCCTCGAAGATCACGGGGTTTGGTAGGCTTGAAATGGATTCTCTTCATTCTGATTCTCGAAGAGACCCCGGGCTGAAACGGGAGAAACCGGAGGAAACCGGGGGCTTTTGGGGTGTAAGACATGTCAAGACCAGAATCCAGGCCAAGATTCTTCAATCAGCAGGCAGAATGGTTTCAAGACCAGATTCCAGGCGTCGATTTGTGGTTTTACTCTTAGGATTTCCTAGGCTTCGATCTCAAAAACCACCCATGGCCACTCCCACGGCCTTTTTTCGATTTTCGCCCTCCACCCAGCCCTCGGGCTTTTGGGTCTTCAAGGCCAGAGCGCCCGATCCGACTGGCCTCTGGCTTAGCAGCTCGGTGTGGAGTTCCACGTGGATCGAGGTGTGCCTGGTTTTGCTTAGGGATGATGTTTCTATTTTGCCGAACTGGTTCAATCCCCCAAACCTAAGGTGGTTTATTCTTTCAGGTTCCAAACGCAGACAAGTCCAAGAACTAATCATGCTATTGATAATGCCCTCAGAAGGTAGGGGCAGACCCCCCTGGCACCTTTCCTAACCACCTTCGAAAGGGAGGTAGTTGGAGCCCTATGGATGTTATTAGCGCATGTAAATGTATGCGCAATGTTATAGTCATGGATGGCATAACATCTTCAGGTGTGTTTGGGATGGAATCAGAATGACATCACAGGGGTTTGGGCCGTTTTTTCGTGTCACGTTGATTGTCTCCAGGAGGTGTGAAAGGTTGACAATTCCGATGTCCTAAGAGTCCTGCTACCCCGACCTTGCGTGATGGTGGGGGGTCGGACCCAGACCATGGACCAGTGCACTGTTGAGAAGTATACCAGGACCATGGGCTGTTGCTGGAGATCCCGAAGCGTAGCAATCAGGCTGATGGAATCAGACAGAATGGTCCTCGTAGGGTCAGGGATGGGTCCTGGTAGGGACTGATGGGTCCTGGTAGGGAGGATGATGTTTGGCCGGAACTTGACTGGACAGATGGTGATACCGCACGTGATGAATTGGGTGGACTTTCGCCACCGTTCGTTGACGATTCCATGGGTCTGGTGTTTTTTTTTTTTGTGTGTTTTTACTTTTAAAGCCGTCCTGCATTGGGTTACTTGGGCCGATTACACACTTATAGGGTATATAGCTCCTGGCCGTAAAAAAATAGAATTAATTGCTCAAGCCTGTATTTTTTTTTTACGGCCAGGAGCCCCTAATAGCTTCTTATTCCTTGTAGTAAGGCCCCTAGTAGCGTTCTTGTTCCAAGTAGTAAGGCCAGGAGCCGCTGGTAGCGTCCTTGTTCCTACTAGGTGTTGAACTTTGCTCAGGTGCTTTTGTTTCATTCCAGCTGTGCCCTCAGAGGTGAAGCTGTTTCATGCATGGGCCTGGACTCCACCTCAATCCACTATGCCGTTCTATGCCGTAGCACAAACGCTTCCATTTCTTTGTTGTGCGCGGAATATAGGAATTCTTGATAATCCATCAAATTATAGCAACTAAGTTTGCCAGATGTTGCAGAACCAGTTTCCAGGCACTACTGTAGTTCCCAAACAGTTGTTGTGTTGCGTTTCTTTCCTGAAGAGTGTTTTGATTTGATTCTCAAATCTTGCATGTGTTGGCAGTTCTGATTTCTTCCACCTTAGCCACATGTTCCATCACGGCTTCAGCACCTGTCTACATGGCGTTGACCACCGCGCCCATGGCGGCGGCGAACACCGGAACGCGGAACGCGGAAGCGCTCTCCTCGCCGCCCAAGGGCCTCGGTGCAGGACCGTCGCCGGAGGTGAAAAAAGAGGTTCTAACGGTTGAAGAACCCTACCAGCACCCGAAACCAACAGGTCTCCGAAATGGAGGCGACCTTGTAGACTTCAAAGTCGCAGGTGGTGACCTGTAGAGTTGGGTCCTGGTATAGACTCTATAGACTGTCCCTTATAGACTGGGTACAGGTTACTACGGGTCCTTCTTCAGGTCACTGGCTACCTCTGTTGGTTTGTCGTGCAAAGTTCCACCTGTCTGGCGGGGTCCATTCCCACCGACATGGACATGGATGGAAGTCCGGTCACGAACTCTCTTCATGTCGAAATGGCATGCAGCGCCGTGCAGCGCCATACACAGGGTATATACAGTATACATGGCCTAGTACGTGGCCTGAAGGGTCTCACAAGCACTTGACTTGCTGAACCAGATAGTTTCTGAGAGCCTTGGGAACCTTGTGGTGAAGTGTTTGATCGGCAGGCGAAGCAGGGCAGATCATGTAAGATCGTACTTCTTTGTTTGGGACGGTGGCACACCAACAGAGGATACCCCACTATAGGTACCCCAGGTTACGTACCCCAGTAAGTACGGCCCTATTTACTGCCTACCTGGCCTACTGACCGGCAGGCGCCACGTGCATCGACCTCACCGGTCTGACGATGACATCGAACTCACCGGTCAAGTCCGGTGGTTGACCGGTTCTGGCGGGGTGTTGCGAAGGCGTGGTGCAAGGGAACTTGGGTTTGCTGTGGAGATGTAGAGTGAGCATATTATAGCGCACATGTTGATTCTATATGAAGTTCAACATGTTAATGTCAATGACAAAAGTCCTGTGAAAGAACCATCTTCACCTTAACTTCTTCGTTCCTCGGCCTCAACCTTTAGACACTCTGACTCTCTTCGGCTTCAACGGGACGAGTGTCTATAGATGGCTTCAACGGTGGTCCGAAGGCTCCAGCACTGGGAAGGCCGCACTGGACTGGATCAGGTGGAGCGAGCGCGGAGAAGCGAGCGCCAGTGCGAAGCGGGGCGTTTCGATTGAAGCGGATTGGGTCACTGGATTTGATGTTTGGATCGCTGAATTTTGAAGCGGATCGGCCAGCAATAGCACAAGCTTGGTTCATTTTGGATTAACATGCTTTTGTGGTCTGTGGTTCCAGCTGTGCTTTTGGAATAGTGGCATTGCTTCGCCAATATTCCATCCACGATTTGACCTTCAGAGCAGCAGTGGAGTCGGAATTGGCAATGAGGCCTCTCTGGCCGCTTGCAGCATGTGCAGCATGCTGCGCAGCATGCTTTCGACGCCAGCGTCATCGTGTGTGCTTGTCAGGTGCTGAGTTTTGGTGTCAGATGATGTTAGGTGTAAGGCGTAAGACACCTAGCATCTTCCAAGGGGTCATCAATGGAAGCCTTTACTCTATATACATATGGACTTCCATTGGACACTCCTTGGAAGGTCCAGGCATGTAAGATGATATTGATTTTAAAACACTGGTTTTCTTGATGTTTTCTTGGGTCATTTGTAGGCGCCGCGCCCTCCTTCCCGACTCGCGGCTCAGTGGCGTAACCGTGTCGTGAAAAACCGTGTTTCCACGAACGCCGCTTCTAGAGACGCCATGGAGCCGAAGGCGGGAGCACGGCAGCGCACGGGACTGGCAGCATGGCTTCCCGAAGCGTTCGTTTCTGCCTGGCAGCATCACTTGAGCCAAAGAATACATAGAAGGTTAACTGCAGTCATATGATGAATTCAGATGAATTCAGGTTCTCCCATGGAGGGGTTTACATACCGTACATTTGCCTCTTCTTCTAGTTTCAAACGGCTCACAGAACTTGCTTTTGTTCCCCATTTTTGATTGCCGTTTGCTCTTCAGATGTTAGCAAACCCGTCGATGGACTTCACCAATCTTCTGGAGGCGAGGAACAGATGAAATTGAAGACATGTGAAGCAAAAAGAAACATGAACTTTTTCTAAGAAGCAACATGCAGCAAACACATGAGTGTCTACTTGCTCGGAACTCGCCTCAGACAGAACTAGTCACTAAGTCCAGGTTGCTTGACTTTGCGAATCGTGCCGTGCGCAGGGAGATCTGAAGGAAGAGGTTATGAAGGAGCTGAAGAAGGATCCAGAGGTTCAGCTGCTAATATTAGCGCAGGTTGAGCAGCTGAACCTCCAACAGCAGCTGAACCTCCAATATTCAGGATCCAGAGGTTGAGCAGTTTTGCTCCAATTCGCACATGTTCCGGTTTTCGATCGAAGCTTTGGAACCAAAAGGAGAGGTCAATCACAGCAAGAGTAGGCAAAGCAATTAATACGATATTAATAGGAGGAGCGGGCGTCGGATTTGGAGCCGCAGACGCGTCGTCGAGTCCGTCGACACCGTCGGTCTTTCGGACGGAGCGTTTCTGCCAGGCACAGACTGCAGGAGACTGAGAAGCATGAAGGAAGCGACTGACCGTCAGACCATGTCAGACTATCAGTCACGCTAATGATCGCTGTCAGCTGATCCTATATCTTTGCTGATCTTTACCTCCGTTCCACAAGTTCGATTTTGTATATGGATTGTTTTTGCAGTATCGCATCGTTTGCTGCTTTCTCCAAAGGAGGACAGGACACGGGTCGCATGCATCAGAACAGAGGGTTTTCATGCAGCAGACGGATGGAGGCAATATTATATGCGTTGCATGATGTCGCATATATAGTTAATCGGTGTTCTAAACAGAAGGGAATGTACATAGATCAGTTTGTTTCTCGGTTTCGCCCCTTTCTCAAGGCCAACTCGCCAGAGTCCAAGTTGAGCCGAATCTCCACAGAGGCGGGGAAGCTGGACCCGAAAGACCTATTATAGCCTAATCAAAACGACTTACCCTCCCTGCAACAAACATGGAAGTGGACAACCCCCTGTTTGTAGAGGAAAACGGTCTTCCGGGGGCCTACTTTCCTCCACTTCCATGATTGTTTCTGTCAGTGTAGTTTTCAACTCGCGTCCGATACACGTGGAGCTCTAGCTGTCAGGGTTTCAGCATGGAAGCTTCCAACGACTATTCATGTTTGACAGCGTAAACAACGTACGTACTCAAGTCACGTCACTTTTAATCACAGATGTGCTTTTTGACATGTATGTGTTGGATATCCAAAGTACAGGAAGCCCTTCATTACGGTCAGAATATCCTTTGCCCCTTGATTTGAGAACAGACTGTAGGTGTGGGTGTGTGGGTGTGTGTGTATAACCCGCTCTTACACGCGGTTGACGAGTTTCTGTAAATTGTATCGACTTTCGAGAGCAGGGGGTCCAGGCAGTTGTGAGTTGGCCCTGGACCAGCGAAGACGGACTCACAACTGGTGAAGCGAGAAGGGACGCCTTCTTGTGTACCTGCCATTTTAACTTACCGTAAAGGGCTAATGCATTGATCGATGGTGTCGCCGACTTTGCTTGGTTTTTCGATTTTTCAAGGACACACACTTAGGAGGTTCTTGGCTTTGTCATCATCCTAACGCTCTACACTCCAAGACTCATTCCCCAGTGTGTAGAGGGTGCATGCCAGAATTGGCGACACCGTCGAGACCCTTCGTGGGACTCTGTAGCTGGCACGGGCCTTCCCGCGAGAAGCAATTGGTCCTCGTCCAGAGGTTCCAGAACTTAGCGCACCAACGTGGTGTCGACTAGTTGCTCACATGCGGAAGACACAGTCTTCAGACAGACTGTTCATAGCTGCAATCAAGCGCAGTTGCAAAGCGCAGAAGCTGCCATCGAGCGCAGTTGCAAAGCGGCAGAAGTCGATGTGATTGATTACTTCCATGCTTTGCACCCGTTGCCCGGATCTCAAGCTCGGCCTTGCGCTTGAGCTTTTGGCCTCACTTCCGTTTAAGACCCCCAGGATCCTTCGGGTTTCTCTGCCGACTTGCACTTGAGCTTTTGGCCTCACTTCCGTTTAAGACCCCCAGGATCCTTTGGGTTTCTCTGCCGACTTGCACTTGAGCTTTTGGCCTCACTTCCATTTAAGAACCCCCAGGATCCTTTGGGTTTCTCTGCCGGCTTGCACTTGAGCTTTTGGCCTCACTTTCGTGTAAGACCAGGATCCTTTGGGTTTCTCTGCAGACTTGCACTTGAGCTCCGATCGAACCAAGGCACTCTTTTCTGCGGCTTTCAAACTAAGGATGCTAACGAGACCCACCGGTTTGGACCGTATTCGGCGTCGGCCTGTTCGAATTTCGGGACACTAAAATCACAGACGTCACTGTTGTGCATAGGCCCACTCACGAAGTCTGAGCCCTGCACGGGGAGGGCCATGTGTGTGTGTAACCCGCGCTTATGACGGGCTTCTTTAATTGTATCGACTTTTGAGAGCAGGGGGTCCAGGCAGTTGTGAGTTGGCCCTGGACCAACGAAGACGGACTCACAACTGGTGAAGCGAGAAGGACGCCTTCTTGTGTACCTGCCATTTTAACTTGCCGTAAAGGGCTAATGCATTGATTGATGGTGTCGCCGGCTTTGCTTGTTATTTTTATATTTTCAATCACACACACTTAGGAGGTTCTGGGCTTTGTCATCATCCTAACGCTCCACACTCCAAGACTCATTCCCCGGTGTGTGTGTGTGTGTGTGCGGGGATCTTGTGGCGTCGCGCGGGTCCGACACGTCGCTCACGTTCAAGAGGGTAGGTTGGGATCCCACGCCATTCGATGCCTCTCTGATGAAGCCTGAGAGGGAAAGTTCTCAGCCCAGCATCATTCGGCCGTTCTGGAACTCATTGTTCCTGCACGGGCGAAGTGGCGTGCAACATCCGTTTGCGTGTGTCACCCCGCGCGTCTCGAAGAGAGGTCTGGAAGCGTCAGACCCGAGACATCCTGAGCCGCTAGCAGCCCCATCACTGAATTGATCGCAACAAAAACAGGCAAAAACCACGTAGCAGGATCAAGGATGATCAGGGTCATCAGAGGCATCAGTTTGTCCAGCGGCCTAGTGTCGCATAGTCGGGCGAAACTGACATGGCGACGATGTGTTTGCCCGTTCTTTCTGTCCCTGTGCCACCGAAGCAAAGGCTTGCTCGTCTCCGAAGCTCCGACGTCGCTCGTCGGATCCGACCTCGTGGTTTCCGAACACGGAACCGCAGGTGGTTGGTCCTCGGTCCTCGGTTGTAGGTCCGTAAGGCATCCGAACGGAAAGGCATCCGGACGTCGGCAGGAAACAGCCCAATGAACCGGCCCTACATCAGCGTGGACCAATGCAAACCATCTGTGGAAACTCTGGGAACAATTCGCGAAGTGTGTTGTGATCCAATTTGATCTTTGATTCGGAAGAGGTCGTAGAGTGCATGGAATGGACACGTCTGTGCGAACCTCTATTTTGCTTTGCCACCTGACGTTCTGAACCGCCGAAAGGTCAATCAACTACTATAATTAATATTGATTAATATATAATTATGCAATATATATTGATCAGTATTGTATATACCTGGATCCTCCAAAGTACGTTAGAAAATGGGACATGACACCATAAAAACAGTACGACTGTACCCATTTTCCGAGGTACGAACTGAGACTTCAGGTAATTGTATGCAATTGTCATACCATGGGTCTTGATGTTCTGTTTTGCCTGCCTCGACAGGCGTCGGTGGGCGAAGCTGCTTGACCGCAGAACTGCTTGTCAGCTGAAACAGCTTGACACGCAGAGCGCAGTTGATCAAGCGCGACTTGGACCCTGTTGAGGTCACCAAATCCGTGAACAGCTTTCAGTACGAGGCATGTCCGCTATTTTGGTTGACCGTCGTTTCCGCTGGGACGCCGAACGCCTGTTGGGCCTCTCACCTTCGAACGGCAGAGGCCCAAAACTTGGACGTGCCCGTGGTCGTCGTCACCTCGGAGGTGCGGTGCGGTGCGAGGTGAGGTCATCGTCGTTACGTGCGAGGTGAGGTCATCAGCAGAGGTAGCCAATGACCGGTTTCATAGGCCCCGCTATTCTGGGGTACCGGTTCCTGGGATAGTCTAATTATATCTAATTATATCTAATTATAGGGTTCTTCAACCTCTGTTGGTTAATCTCAGCTAAGAGGGAAGCACTTTCTGAACATGATGTTCCTATGGTCTATGAGCTATGTTTGGTCTATGTTAGAGGAAAACGGCGACGTCACAATGTTTTGCGGGGTCCCCCTGCTAATGTAGGGATGGTAGAAAACAAAACAAGGCAATCATATCTGCAGCAGTCACAGGGGTGCGATGAAAATGGAGGAAGTCGGGGAGCCCAGCACATCACATCCACAGCCCCTGGATGGGACGAGCCAAACCACCCAGGCCCTCCTTGTGACTCCTGGTCGTCTCATTCGATCCCTTGAGTCGGCTCTGCCATCGCCAGATCCACCCGTGGTCCAAAAGCGGCGGCTTAGCCATCGTTGCAGCGCAGTCGCTTGGGATGAGAGCTGAAGAGCGTCTGAAAGTTCGCCCAGACCATCCGTTGGACTGGAAGAGTTCCCAGACCATTGGGGTGATGTCCATGGGTTATTTCTATATATATATATATATACCAGGACCCCCAGGAGTTGGGTGGTTAATGGACACCCCGAATCACAGCTAAGGGGCTATGAATAGACACCGTCCTGGTATATAAACTGTATTTAACTATTCATGGATGGTTTGGGAAGCTACATGTTGCTGGATGTTCCCCGAAAACAAGCTGTTGCCCCGCTGATTGGCTGATTGGTTCCTTGAGGTATGCATACAACTTTGCCATCCGCGGTCACCGTGCCCTCGGCGTTCTTGTGTCCTGAAGCGTGGGCATGTGGCACCAGTGACGGATCTCTCCCAACGTCGCATTCTTTCATCACTTCACATCGCTTGTGTCGAAACCAGGAAAACCAACCGATAATACGGAGAGATAGGAGAAGAGGAGATGGAAAGGGTAAAGATAATAGACATCAATTAGGACTTCAGAATAAATACAAAATATAAATTTACCCAAACATGTATAGCCCACCCGAGCTCGGGGTTGAGCCCAGCTCCCGAGCTCGCCAGGCACCATGGCGATCGCTCCGATGTACGACAACTATGACGGGGCCTTCTATCAGTGCACCAAATCCTTTGAGCTCTTCGGTGGCCTTCATGAGGTGCACCGAATTCGCATCGCCGCGATGAAAATCGCGCGAAGCGCGAACTACCGCGGAGATGGGGGCGTTCCTGTCCACACATGTTTGTTGCTAGCGCGCGTGTGTTCTTTTTTTCCCATGACCAGGAGTCACATGGAGGGCCTGGGTGGTTTGGCTCGTCCCATCCAGGGGCTGTGGAGTAGCTGGGCATCGGCATCCCCATCCTCCAATAGACTAGACACCCCGACATGGAGCTGCTGGTGCGCTGTTCTTTGTTCATATTGATCATACCAGGACCCTCCTGTCGGGGTTTCCATTTATAGCCCCAAAAAGCTGTGAAGAAGGGGTGTCCATGAAGCACCCCGACTGGGGGTCCTGGTATATGATCATAATTGTTGTTCTTTGTTTTTGTTTTCCCTTTGTAGACCTTCAGGACCATGTTCTTTTCTTCATTTCTATTCTTCGCCCGTTTGGGTTTACAGCTGGTGCTCTTTCCCTACAAGCCGTTTCTGCTTTCCACCGGCTTTTGCCTCGCACCTTTCCCGTGGTGTTGGTCTTCCGCTCTCCAGGTTCACTACTATCACCACTTCCAGAACTACGGCGAAGGCTGGTTTGTTTGTCAGTTGGCCATGTTCCGTCCTCTCGGCGCAGGCAAGGGATGCGATTACGTCTTCATTGAACACCCATTCTTTCGCAGGCGAAGACAAAGGAGAAGTGAGAAGTGTTCGCCCACAAACAATGCAAAAGAGAAAGACCAGACACAGTTATATAAAGACATATGAAAGGAATGCGATACAAGTAATTTGAGTTAAGTTTGCTTGCACTTTCAAAGACAGCAAGTGAAGAAAGAAACGACTTTGGAAAGATGAGTTGCCACATGATGCCAATGTATGCCACGCACGATGCATTAATAACGCTGATGTGGAACCATGCGATCAGGCCAGGTGGTCTCTATCACAATCTCTCGGACAACCAGGCCAAGAGGGAATGAACAAGGGAAACGGATTGAATTGTTTCCCTTCCCTAGGGATCCAGTCGTACCGAACCTCAGATACGGTGAGCAAGGAGATTGTTTATGTAGGCGCCAGGGTCGGGCCCAGTCGTACCGAACCTGAGAAGGTACAACTGGATCCCTAGGGTTTGTTGTTATTCTTATCACCTTCAGACGATTTTAGACCTCTAGTGTCCTTATGTCCTTCCTTTTCTTTTTATCATTTTCAACCACGTGGCTCTGTTTATGCCCATGCTGCTCAGGAGTACTCTGACAACCTGTTTAGGCGCGACTCTTCTGTGCTCAGTGAGACAAAAACGATATGTGACACTTTATGTATGACTCGACTCCCGATTGACATTCTTGAGTGGGTGGGTGGGGGCTAACAACGCATCAGACCCGTCGCAGTTTTTTTTCTTTTACCAGCTCAATGCGCATCTTGATCCCCAAACCGTTTTGTTTTTTGCTTTTCATGAACTTCTATCCCTACAGGTGAATGACCTCATTTTACTGGACATGCAACAACACTACGTTTCAGAACGGAAAAGACCAGGTTTGGACCTGGGTCAGACTGGACTTGTAGGGTATGGTTACTTGTTTTTCGTTTTTTTTTTCCCATCTGGATGAGTTTTGCACGTTGGCAACCCCATGTACCAGGCACTCCATGTAATATAACATATATAGGTCTGTCCGTTCTTACCTCTCAGTAAACAAGGCCTTTACTATTTTTGAACAAGGCCTGCAACCTAACCATCATCATCCACTGGGCCCAAGTATTAGGATAGACCCAGTGATAGACCCAATATAGAATATTTGTCTACATTTGGGCGGCGGTTTGATGGGTCAATGTAGGTAAATATTCCATGGGTTGTTTGGGCACGGAGAAGTTGGGAAGATCACAGTACACTAGAACCAGTGGCCGGTGGCCGGTGTTTTTCTATGTGGTTACTGAAGCATGCTTGGGCAGTTTCGATGTTTGTTCATAGCTGGACAAGTCTCGTTGGGAACCCTTTGGCGGACGCTCGATATATATTACGACCTTATGCTGGTGTGAATTGCGCTTCTCGAGCGTAACATGCAAGAATTTGTTTGCAGCATGAGCCGAAGAGCTTCCAACATGACTCTGGCCTTCAGCCACGTGCCAACAAAAGAACCTGTTTTGCGGGGCCATTCCTTTGGGACAACTCATTTCGCAAAAGCATCCGCAAAACATTGCTCAACAAAAACAACAAACTTGATTTCAACCACCGTGAACTCTGAACCTCTAGAGTGTTGAACAGCTAACGACTTGAGACTTCTTCACCTCAGCCAGGTGAACAAGGTCTTCAAACAAAACAAACACACGTCAACTCGAGGTTTTGTTCATCTACAGTGGTTTCAGAATAGATAGCACAAACCCAAAGATTACATTTTGAGGGGTATATCACTTGGGGGCCCTGCGCCATCTACTCTGAAACCACTGCAGTCTCAAAGCTCGCGCGTGGACAACGCGCGCAGGTTTGCACTCTTCTCATTGGCTGCTTTGGAGGAGTGGTCTTGGGACGCACCGGATCCCATTCCCAAACACTCCATGTATGGCATATTTACCTACATTGACCTCTGAAACCACCCCAATGTAGGCATATATGGCATACATGGAGTGTCTGGGATTTGTTCATGCACAAAAAGCCGAAGATGCTTGTGATTCTTTCTCGTGCATTCGGGCATTTTGTAGTGACAGCTGGCGCAGAGTTGAGGGCACACAGCGAAAAAGGTGCAGGGAAGTCTTTGTTGTTTTTCCCCACTTGCCGGGTGAGGGTTGTTAGGTTTGATCAGAGTTCGTCTCCTCCTCCTCCTCCTGTCCTGCTCCTCCTGCGCGGTTCAACAGGTGCCAGTGGCCATCGAACTGGGTGGAGCACCCTGCTACGGTGGACGAGCAACTTGGTGAAGTGGAAGGGTGCGTCAGAAAGGTTCTGGTCATGTAGACTCTTGATTAATAAACCATCCCATTTGGATGTAAAACTTATGTTTTGCTGTTTGATAACTATAATGTCGACGCCGGATTAACACCCCCAGCCTCTCAAGCCTTACTATTAGGGGTGAAAGTTTGATTATTTGTTTAAGCCTGGGGTAGTGAATCAGAGAGGTCTGCCCAAAGACTAAATTAAATCTTGCCATCAATTTTCAAGTCTTGGACCTATTGCTAAATTACAGTGAAATTCACTTTCCCAAACCAACTCCAAAGAATCCCTTTGGTGCTCCTGGCTCATGGTTAGCTCATGCCTTTGGCATTGTCACACGGTGAAACTCATTGGCCCAATTGGTGGATTTGTGGAGCGTTTGCTGACACATCAGCACTCTTCTGGGTCATTTTCTCCATGGCATGGTCAAGGCACTCTGCAATGTCGTTTGTTTTCACTGAAGCCAGTCAATTGCGTGGCCGCAGTCTATCCCCGCCACAAGCCTCCCCATGATTCTATTTACAACCACCCAACTAATTCCCAGACACTCCATGTATGACATATATGCCTACATTGGGATGGTTTTGGGGGTCAATGTAGGCATATATGGCATACATGGAGTGTCTGGGATTTGGTTCCCCCTTGCACGGTAAGAACAATATCACCCACCCAAAGGATGAGGGATGAGCGAAAGGAAAAGAGTGTTGGAATTGAGTTGGAAAAGGGTCCTTTTAATTTGCAGGAAAGGCCTCTAGGATGAGGATCATGGTGGAGTTCAAGGTGAATTTTCAGAAGGGCAGGTTCGAGGCGCTGGGTTTAGTATTGCAAAACATTTTTGGCACCAAGAAATGTATGTTCATTTTAGAAACACTTGGGCTAGAAGGTCGTTTACTATTGCATGCCCGAGGCGGGCCAAACTAGTTGGGTTCGTTTGTCTGTCTAAATGAATGAATCGCATTATATATTTGCTTCGACGTGTGCCCATCTTCGATCGAGACCATCGCTTTCAGGTGATGTTTATAGCAAATGATTGGCAAACAGGAGAGGCAAGACGTGAGCAAAAAGCAGCAGAATAGATCGCATGTCTATGAAACTCATGCAGTGAGACACTGTGTCCCTGGTGTATTGAGCAAAGGAATCTGAAAGGCTTGCAAAACATAGAGATTGATTCAACGCATATCGCCGAATCCAAGCCAGGCTTTTGAACCATGCATATACGTGTGCAAGTTCAAGTGAAAACAATACAACAAAAAATCTGTGAGTCATAATATGTGTTAAACACATTATCTCAAAGTGCTGCGCAGAAAGACGGTGCTGAATGGCCCCGGTCCGCTTCGACAGCCGTTTCCGCAGCTTTCGCTGCAAACCACGAGAATCGCAGACTTGATGTTTCCCAGACACTCCATGTATGGTATATATATATATGCTTACATTGAGCCCATTCCAGCCATACCGTCCCATGGAGTCTTTGGGTTTTGGGGGGAAGCGGAGGACTGCTGCCAGTCTACATGGTCGCTGGCTGAGCCGAATCGTGTCCAAATTGGGGGTTTTGATGTGGTGTATAGTTGCAAAGCTGGAAGCAAAGTTGCACCGCAAGCAGAACCCTAGGGCTCCAACCACCTCCGTTTCGAAGGTGGTTGGGGTAGGTTTGGGGGGTCTAACCACCTTCTGAGGATATAGTTGGAGCCCTAGGGTAATGCAACTGTTATTTGTGTTTTTGCTAGTCGCTTCCAACCGAAACCGGCCTTGCTCAAGGGTGTGTTAACATCGTGTGATGTTCCGAGTAAGATGTTTACTCCACCACAACTGCAGCGGAAAGAAACATGTTCCTAAAAGCGATGCACTTGTTACTAGTGTTTTCCACAAAATACTCATTCTTGCTCATTGCCATACTTCTTAGCTCATTCCACAATCCAACTCATGTTTGTGTATAGGCATCGTCACTTCCGAAGAAATCAACGAAGTGCGCCCTCTGCGCCCTCTCCGGTTGCGCGACTCTCGACTCTCCGAGCGCTCTCCGACTCCTGCACCAGGTGCATAGGCATCGTGCCTTCGGGAACTACAACCATGCACGCTGCATGTATGTGGCGTTCTAAGACCGAAACAAAACTGAGACAGAGCAGACAAACTCTACAAGCAAAGGTGGCCAAATCAGACCAAACCCAAACTGGGCCACCTTGTTGTCGCTGTTCTCTCTCAGACTTCGCGTCATGTTTTCGATCCTTTAAGGTGATCCACAATTTGGGCTACCAGGGATGCTACCCTTTGCGATTAGGTTTGCCTGGCACCTTGCGCGAGACCGAGCACGCAAGGAAAAAAGCGAGAAAAAGGAAGAAGTGCGAAAGTCCAAGTGTGTGTTTTTCTTGTTGCATTTGCTAAATCAGTTGGTGCTTCAGGCAATATGACAATTTTGCGCAGCTTGGCCTTCCTTTTGCCGCCTTGGGAGACTTGCTCTACCAATATCCTTTGCATGAAAGAACCTTTGAAGGTGACTCAGGACCGAACCGAACGACCCGCTACCGAACCGACACCGGACCTGACCGGACCTACAACCACTCCCCGCTACCGAACGTCACGTCGTCGCGTGTGCGTCGGGACACGTCGTGGGTCAGGAGAGACCCTGAATCTCACCAAGGCGCCGGCTTCCGACGGTGAGTGGCCCGGGGAAAGCGGGACCTAGAGCAGAACAAGAGTTTACTTAACAGCTGAATCACCGCAGCTAACTACAGCTGCTAAGTATTAACATAGACTTCTGAAAGATCTTACAAAGATGGATTTCTGGGGTTTGTCCGTTCGTACCTGTAGAGCCGTCAGGTTTCACCATCAAATCATACGTTTTGATCTGTCGGCCTGGAACCTGACCTGGGCCCAGTGGATGACTGGGACCAGGTAGACAAACTGGAGCTCGTCGCCCTGTCGCCCTGTCGCCGTCGCAGGGAGCGATCCAGTGCTGTGACCGCATCGTTACAGTGCCGCCGAGCTCAGAAACCGGGAGAAACCGTCCTCGGTAGGAAGGGGATGCGCTAGGCTTCGCGACTGCTACAGACTGCTACATACTGCTATACGTGCTTCGAGGCGAAACTGGGTCGAATTCCTTCGTTCGCTCTCCAACGGATCGCGATGGCCTCCTTACTAGTATAGGTAGACTAGTATGCTAGACTTGGCTTGTCTATTTGTCCTGCTGCCCTGGTATATACGCGCCTCTCAGGTCCCCAACATATGCAGATGAGATCCGAACGCTTGAGGTGCTGCAACCAAGTGGCAGAGACAACACGGACAGCGTTTGAAAGCCTTTGAAACGCGTTGAACAAGTCGAAGTTTCTTGTTGAGAAGCTGAACCGGGTGCATGTTGACTTCCCCGCGCAGGGTGGCTTTCGTTTGCATGATTTTGCCACGGGGCCTAGCTTGCCCAGCGGCGTTTTGCGCGCACCTTTCTTTGACGTGCCCAGATCAAGAAGAAGGAGCCCAAACCTTCTTTTCACAGAGGTGTTTGCATTCTTGCATGTACATCGTGACATGTGCGTGATACAGTTTTAATTATGTTGGGTCTTTCCTATTACCTGCAACAGTCAGTAAACAATTACCGCTGTTTTGACCATTTACATCCACTGCTACAGGTATATAATAGGATAGACCCAACAGTTATATATGTTCTTTTTGCGGTACATCATTTGTTGGCGAGAATTCGCGTCTTGCGTCGTAGTTGAGGTTGCAACCAAGAGCTACTTCTTGGTGGGAATTCTCAACGGTGCTTTGGTCTCAATCTGATTCAGTCAGACCAGACAGATCTTTTTACCTAAGCAGAAGAAAGTCTCTTGGTTTATTCTTAGCATCAGTTTGTCCAAAGTTTACTTTTCATTCTTCAATTTTATCACCGACGTCCTCCTCCGCTCCTTTGCCGGACCGTAGTGGGCACATACCAGGACCGAAGTCGGACCATATGCCACAGCACATGTCAGACTTCACGGCAGGGACAATGTCAGAATACAGTCAAGAACATTTCCCAGCCGGAGATGATTGTGTCAGAGCACACACTTGATGGGAGAACAGGCGTCAGAACATTGTAACAATCCGCATGTCCGGCTTTGCTCCATCAGCGCAACTGCGCCAGTCTTTCTTCCGAGTGTAAGGAAGGGGGAGTCCTTGTGGCAAGGCCCACCGCCAAATCCCCAGTTGACCTCCGACTTCGGACCAGGTCGGACCTCAAAGGTCGTCCAGCAGAACTGTGGCCCACTAGAATGCTAAATGTCTTATGAAGGAGGTCACCGGGAGGACCTTCAAAGTGACCTCTTTGGAGTCTCTAAGTGACCTTTTACTGGCCTAAGTGACCTCATCCTGGGAGGTATATATTTAAAAAACAACATCTTTTGGGAAGATGATGACATGAGCCATTCTATGCTGGACATGTTCACACCGGGCTTGCCCTCACACCGGCCTGACAGCGACCTGAAGGAAAGACATCGCCGACGGTCAAACTGCAATTTGTTGTTGGCTGGGCGTCCCAAAGGCTCCATTCGCAGAAGGCTTACAATATTTCCTGTGAAGGCAGGTTTCGAGCAGTCACGCATAGCTTGACTCCAGGCAGTATAAGCACACACTCCTGTTCCCCTGACAGGAAGGCGGCCGGCGTGTTAATCCGACAGGTAGATTGCTCTGCCTGCATGAAAGGAGTGTGCCATTCAGCTAAACCTGCATGGTTGGCCTTTGCTGTTCACCCCTCGCAAGACCTCAACCTGAAAGCCTTTTGGCAGACAAAAGGCATTGTTCAAACGTTTGCATTTAGGATGGTTAATGAGGCCTACGGCCTATATGACATGCACATTGCTTGAGGCACAGTTCACACTGACTGCCAGTGACGAAATAGTGCAGGTCATTACATCTGCCACGTTTCTTGAATGGATGTACAGACAGCGCCGCCTTTCCCCGAAAAAATTGACAACATCCACCGAAGTGCCCTGTCTTTCTGGTGATGGGAAGGCCTTCCTTCTCTATCGAGATCATTGACAATTTTCTTCGACCCGAGTCACTTCGGCCATTTTCAACCCTGAACTCCGCAAGGATGCAGTGGAGATGTCCCATTGGTGCAATCATGATCCCCCAGCCCAACCATCGAATCCTTGGATCAGCTCAACCCAGCAATGTGCGACGCTCAGCTGCGCCACAGCAGGCGACGCTGACGTCGCAAAGGGGGTCACTCCAGCAGGTCGCAGGTTTGCGCCGCCACCACGCCGTGAACGCACAAGAACAATCATAAAGCGTGACCGAGAAGAACATCTGAGATCAATCAAGGACATTAAGAAAAACCATGACAAGACCGCCGAAGAAGCCACAAACTCACCAAACATCTTGTAAAGTTGCAGATGGTACCGGTACACCAAAGAGATCCGTTTTGGCACTGGTGTCTACGCCCGCGCAGTACGTCTCCACGCGACGTCTCGACGACGTCTCGATGAGAGAGTCGCCAGGTCGGTGAGCGAAAAGTGCTTCATCCCGATGGAGCGACATGTGGTTTTTGCAACAAGTCAAGACATCGGTTTTCTTGAATTCATATGTTTTTTTAGTTTTCAGAATTCAGATCCGTTTTGTTTTGTCTGCAACGTCCGTGCCAAGAAACGTGTTGAAACGTGCTTTTGTTTCGGATCCATGAATGTTGTCGTTTATCCCATGTAGCAAGCGTTCTTGGTGCTATGGTTTGGTTGGTGGCACCAGCATCTATAGTTTAGACGGCTTCCTACCTGCTTTCATGTCAGATTCCTCGGACATTCTCGGCCTCTCTTGGGAATTATTGTTTTTGTTGCGATCTGTATTGCAAGGAACAAGTTAAGACCATTTCTTACACAATTATTGGTCGCCCTTGAAATAGCTAGATGTAATATAATGTTTGGAATCGGAACGCGAATTTGGCAAGTTTTCCCAAGAAAGGCCACTGGCCGAATGGAGGCATTGATGCGAGCTGGGCGCCCGAAAAGGACAAAACCATTGCCGAGACATTCTCTGCCGAAGACTTGTCGGAGACTTATAGATGAGACGGAGAAGAATGGCGTTGGATGCAAACACTGGAAACAATTGCGGCATCTATCAGGAGAGGTTCTTGTAAGTGAGTCAAAGGGAAAGAATAAAGACCCCCTGCAACAGGTCTGAGTTCATTTTCGACGCCAATGTTAAAGCCAGTTCTGCGAACTAATGTTGTTTTCCAGCCCTGACAAGCTACAAAGCCTGCCATATGGCTTATATAGGCTACACGGCTACACGAGGTGTTTTGTTTGTGTTTTGTTGAAGCAGTCTTAAGACGAATTCCTTAATCAGATTCGGATACTCGGCATTCAAGCTGCTGGCTTTTGGGAAACCATGACAACAATGACCTTTATATACGGGTTTCAATATCAAGATGATCAAGTCTTCTGATTACGTCCTTTGGCAAGCCTAGTAAACGGTGAAACATGTGCGACGACTGGACAGATTCAGTCGATACATGTCGAAGCATCGGTCGTTGCTTCTTGGCAAGCGCGGTACGGTAGTAGGTATGGTACCCAAACACTCCATGTATGGCATATTTGCCTACATTGACCTCTGAAACCACCCCAATGTAGGCATATATGGCATACATGGAGTGTCTGGGGTACATTGTTGCGCATGCTTCGGGTCAGAGGCAGTGCATATAGTTGTCGGGAGCACGAGAAACAACACCTGGTAGCGCGCAGTGTCTACCATGTTTTCACGTCCTATCACGCCTCACGCATGCATCCTTTCCTGAGCGCCCGTCTTCTCGCTCAGGTCCGGCAAGAGGCTTTGCAAACGGCATTTGCAGCGGAAGTTGGGCTTGAAAGAAGACGACGACGCTTGCATTTTGAGCTTCGTGGGGCGGCTGACCTCACAGAAAGGTGGGGACGAAAACCGTCACGGATGTCGCGGTCAGGTCCATGAAAATCCATCACAAAACCGTCACATCCACCGCGTATCGGCCTGGAATTACCACACCCCTCCGTAGACGGTATACATTGCACCTGATGATTTATACTTGTTTTTTCAATCATAATTCCTTTGCGTGTTTTGTTTGCTGCGGCCACGCAATCTATCGCATGGCACTTTGGCAATCGCGAGCGATTCTGCGCGATGGCTCCGTACAAACAGTTGCAATCGACAGGTTGACCGGTTGCATCGTTTACAAATGATATACACTCTCGAAAACCAACATAGACTTGACAATGGCGGCCTCCTGTTGTTTTCCTCTACCAACCAGTGGTTTTCAGGGTCCATGTTAGTCTTGCAGGGTGTAACTGATCAAAATGCCTGTCATCACTATAGTATAGACACCATTGATATCCTTTGATTGTATCACGCAACTTGTTCCTATCTGAAGCGGGAATGAACCAGACTAACATTTGAGAGGATAAACCTATCGCGTTGAAGTACTTGTGGTTTGAAACTTTGCTCGCTCTCCCTTTGTGCGAGTCATCCGAGCTGAATTTTGAAGTCGATATGGCGGTTCGCATGGCCCCATTTTTCAACCCCGGGTTTGCCATTGGTCGTCGCCAGCCCTGGGAAGGCAAAGGCTCTTTTGTTCGGGCTTCAGTTTGTCGCACCTTTTTGTGTGCAGCAAACTGCGCGTTCTCATATCCCAGACACTCCAAGTACGGCAAGCAATCACATACATTGGGGTGATTGGGGTGGTGGGGTCAATGTAGGCATATATACATGGAGTGTTTGGGTATTGGGAAAGCTCGTTTGTGATCGGTTGGTCCGCAGGCATTGACCTGATTGGCTCCTGCGTTCATTGGATTATGGAGGTGGGGACTTGGGAACAGACACTCACACGGAAGACTGGCAAAGGAAAGAACAGTCCTGGGAGTCGCATGGAGGGCCTGGGTGGTGTAACTCGTTTGATTGCACCCAACTCCATGTGACTGGCCCGAAGTGTTTGCCGATGCGTTGACATTCCACCGCGCATGTGGGCCGCAAGGACCACAAAGACGGCCTGAGCAACGCAGTCGACCCAGAGCGTGGCTTGAGAAAGCAACACTGAACCCAGAGACTGTGTGGTCACGTTCCGCGCCTTAAAACACATGTACCATCATCATTGTTCAGCCTTTTCTATAAACTAACCCATAGGTACCCCGACTTAACCTTTGTTGGTGTTGTGCGCAACGGTGTCAATCTTTCAACATGAGCTTGGCACTGTAACAGGTCCAATTGGTGATGATGGGCAATGGCGAGGAAGACTTCGGCGAAGGGCTTACAGCCGACGAGGGCCCAAACGTCACCGCAAAACTCGCAGAACCCAACGAGCACAGAGCAACCAGACTGTTTGTTGTCAAGTTGAGGTGAAAGTAGCGCGTGTTGCACAAGGCATATTCATCATATATTCACATCTTCCCACCTCACATCCCTTTGCGATCAAGACTAGGGCCCGGAATTGCCACTCAGATGAGTCCAGACTTCTTAGTGAATCTAGTGGAAACGAACGAACAGGTGTCTCAAAGCAAACGGCAAACCATGCAATTGACAAACACAATGAAAAGGAAAAAACAAGTGCATCCGATATCTGAATTATACATTTTGGCCGTGCAGAGCCGCCGGCTTTGCCAGAAAGTTTCTAACAGGATTGCAACCACACTCCGTCACTCCGCACTGAAAGGAAGGAATGCGCATCCGTGTGCTGCGCCGCGCCAGAAGCATTGGCGATAGGTGAGTTCGAGCTACAATATGAACACACTCTTGTAAGGATGCAGGCAAAACAGCCTGGTGTTGCAGTACCGCGCCACAGCGACCACTGTCGATTGCAGTACCACGACCGATAAAAGAATGTCGAGACCGATGGAGTCATTGAATGTCAATACAGTGTGTGTGTGTGTGTGTGTTTTTCTTTGTTTGACATGTTATAGATAGGGTTGATATAGATACATATATAACACAGAAGCCTGCTTCATGTTCGAGAGTAAGACCAAAGCCATCATTCAATAGTTAACGCAGACAAGTCGATCAGACACGCTTCGAGAGGGATGCACCCTACTGCACAGCAGCAGCTGCAAGAGTGCCGGAAAACGCAAACACTTTTTTGACAACTGTAGACCTTGGCTGGTGAATGGTATTTGTTTTCTCCAAGCAAACTACCAGCCCAAACTATCTCCGTTTGTATATACAAGACTCTTCCGGAAGTTCCACATGGTTGCCGCAATTTCTTGCTAATCTGTCGCCCTGCATAACAAACTCCCTTACAGACATTGCAGGTCTTCCGCGTGCCACCATACATGGTATGAGTATAATGCACCCCGCGGACACCACTCATCCCATCACATGGGATTTGCACCAGAACCTCCAGATCACTCAAACTTTTGTCTTTGGGCAACTTTGTGCCACAACGCAAACAGCACAAACCCTTGACTGAGGATTCCCACTCATGGCCTCCAGCAGGATTATTTCTTAGAGACAGCAGGAAAGCATCCTTGGTGCATCTAGACTCACTTTGCTTCGGAAGTTTACAGGTACTCTGCTGACGCAACCAAAATTGCACCCGAGGCAACAACCACTTGTTTAAGCGCCAAGCTCGTCCTAAAATGAAAGCGTTAGCCTTATCCTTTCCATACGGGGCAAAGGCCACTGCTGCTTCCCCAGCAAGGGAATCTGCAGCAGCATTAGCATGCCAGGACCAAGCCGGACGACCCAAGTCAATGTGATCTTGGAGACTCATGTGTGATTTGACCTTAACACAGCTCCACAGAGCGACGATCCAACCGTCTAAGTCTCATTTTCAGATCTCCATTAGGGTTACCAACATGCATATTGTGTGAGACCTTTTGCCAAGTAGTTTGCACATAAGACGCATCAAAGGCAACTTGGACAGGCCCATCATGCCAAGACAAGGCTTCCAATGCCCTCACCAGAGCCATAAGTTCAGCTCGAGGGACAGTATTGCAAGTTTCATCACTGTCAGCTAAAGCACCAGACATGGTACCAATCACAACAAACTCATCGCCATCAATGCGAACAGCAACCACAGCCCACGCAGACTTCCGAAGACGGGGGTCATCACTCAGTTCCCAGGAGGATTGTGGCGCCTGATTCAACATTATGGTCATGAAAAATGCCAACAACAACCAAACCCTCAACGGCAATAGGAGGGGCAATAGTCCAATGGCGGGGAACCAGCCATCGGCACCAAAAATGCTCCATTCCAAGTTGACCCAAACACGGCGCCCATACAGCAGGAACCTCCCCATGCTTCTTAATGCAGCCAGGGCATTCATAGAACATATGATGCCAAGTGCGTTCTTGAGTGGGACAAAAGGGGCACCACTGCAACTGGGAATTTTTCGAACAACACAGACTACCCTGCCACAAAACTTGAAGAAGCGTCGCCTCAGTAACAGAAGTCTTACTCAACAAGCTCTGGTGAATGGTAAGGTGAAAAATCTGAGAATCAGTATGGTGAGGTGAGGCAGAAACCATATCAGGAACTCGACAGCCTTTTCAATGGACTGCCACTGTTACCAGTCAGGCAGTCAGGTAGTTCTTCTTGTGGATAGCGGATTTGAAAGATTCTGGTGCCTGTGCAAGTGGCTGAAACACGCACACACACACATACACACACACACTAACACTCTCACCCACGCTTGCACATACGCCCGCGCGCACGCACGTCAGAAAGTATGTGCCCATACATACAGCAAAAAGAAAATCAGGTTTAACAAAGCACTGGCAAGAAGTCACAAAGCTGCAAGTGCATGGAATCATTTGGAACCTATATTAGGTTGGAGGCCATCGCTCTTGGCTTGGAGCCCACCGCTATTAGGTTCCTTAAAGTGTTTCTTAAAGTTTTTGTCTACTGTAAGTCTATAAGGATATAGTAGTATATACCCAGACGCTCCATGTGAGCCATATATGCCTACATTGATCCCTCAAACCACCCCAACTGATCGGCATATATACCAGTCCCATGGAGCGTCTGGGTAATTGGCATATATATTAATACTTTGTTGTTTGCTTGCCCTTCTTAGTGTTGTTCCTTTGTTGCCCTTCTTAGTCTTTCTTAGTGTTAACACCCCTTAGAGGGTGCTGGTATATATTATATTATTCTTTTCGGTTGGGCCAGGGGTGTTTTCGCGACGCAGTTCTCAGCACACCTTCGCCTACGTGCAAGGTTCGCCTATAGCTAGCCCGAACGCGTTCGCGTTCGCTTCCGAGGTCATATGCTTCGTTGGGCTGAAACCACTTGGAAGGCGCACCACTTGCAACCCGGACTGCGTGCTGAGTGCGTCATGTTACATGTCGATATATTTCGTTTGGTCTCAGGGCCGAGTCTGCGGCTATTGGAGCTTCAGCCCACAAATCGAAAAAGAGATCATTGCTGGGTCGGACTTCTTTCTGATGCCCTCCAGGCCGGGCGCGTCGGCAACTATTCCACAGCTGAGATTCGGTGAGTAATTACATGACCCTTTGGTGTCAGCCAGTCACCGGGGTCCCATCTATAATGTAGGGGGTTATGAATAAATGACTTAGTTAAAATAAGGCGTCAAAACTCAAATCTTAGTACAACAAGTTGCTGTTTTTCCCCCCGCAGCTGTGTGCAGATACGAGCCCTGTGGGATCCCGCAGATGTGCATCTCGTTCGAAGTTGGCGTTGACGGTGTGTGGATTGAAAACACCTTTTCCAAGCAAAGCAATCAGGTAGTCACCCCTTCGCTTTTCAAAACAATATTCAGAATTGGACTGGATGATTTTTTTAAAACTATGCGTAGACGTCGAACAGTTGCAGACAAGTGCTGTACGGAGCTGAGGTGCAATGTTGTATGGGACCATACCGATTGTCCACGCGACAGGAGGTCTCAAGGACTCTGTGAAGAGTTGCTCGGCCAGGGCTTGACGACGCTCAAGGGCTTACGGCTTACCGCGATATGGCCGACCAAGCAACAGATTCATGTGATGCCTTCTATTTTCTATGAGTTCGCGTAGTACGCGATATACAGCCATCACCGCTTGGTCCAAGGTGTTTGCGAGTGTTTAAAGTGGCACTGTACTGTGGCAATGTATGGCATGCGGCATGTTTGTTTTTTTCTTTAATCGACCTGACAACTGCCCCGAGGTTGGTACACAGAACCTGACACTTCCACAGGCGCTTGATCTTTGGATTCGACATGCTGACAAACACACACAACAATAATTTTCCCCAAGAATCTAGGAATCAAATGATTAAGGCGGCGGCAGGGGAGAGCTTCCTTGAAGAAGCGTGAGCTACCCTGCATCCAGTAGCTAGTAGCATCTTACTGTAATAGCTACAGCATGCTACAGCTATACCATGCTATACCTCTTATCCTCGGCCTACCTCCGCTGGCCTTTCGGGACCAGGCTTTCACATTTGGCCCTTGAACGAAGACAGCCCTTCGGCCGATTCAGAGACGGGACGGGACCAGTCGAAGCGGTCGTCATGGTGGGTGATTACGTGACGTGACTGACTGGTCGAAGCGATTCTGAGGCTTCAAGAAGGCAGGGATCTTAGCAGAAGCTTCAAGAACCAGATCAAGTCAACACTTAAAGCATCTTAAACATGGTACAATTCAGTGAAACTGGTACTGCCACACTGGTCTGTTTGAGAGCGAGGTGATCTTTGATGGCCTCCACTTGTTCTTCCGGGAACCTGAGGAGGGATGGAATAGTTATCGAATGTGTTGAAATGTGTTATCGTTCATCCGCTTTGTGTCAAAAACGATATGTTTTCAATGTTCTTTCGAATTCAGGAATTCAACCAGATGCGACGGAGGGCCATGGCACAGGACGGGTTTTTGTTGCAGCGTGATGTAGCTCTCGCGACATCGGGACATGGTGACGACATCGGCCGCCTGACTCGCACCTCGCGCTGCCATTGACTCAGCTGTTCGCACTCGGCTGCCAGTGGGTCAAGATCGGCTCTGTTCGGCTCTGTGCTGATTGAAAATGGAGCAAAAAATGGTAGGAGAAGGTTACCCTAGGGCTCCAAGGACCGTCTTAGAAGGTGTTTGGGGTGGGTTTAGAGTCACCTTCTAAGGAGGTACTTGGAGCCCTAGGGTATTGAACTAATAGTGATGGCCAGCCTCCAACATCCTCCAACCATCTCCAATAGTGATGGCTGGCCTCCAACCTGCACCGGCGGCTAGGACTTCAGTTGGTCTCGAGCCATTGACGACTATGAGCGGCACTTCGATTGGACCATCGCGGTACGCCATGCTGTGCTGTGTGGAACAGTCTATAGTTCTGCTTCTTTTGCCTTGGATGATGAATTTTTCTATTTCTTCTATATTGCATCTCCGTTTGCAGCTAGTCGCAGCAAGTCCTGTTTGCAGCAAGTCTTGATGGTTTTGCATCTCCATTTGCAGCAAGTCCCGCGAGGATCCACCGTTTTGGGGAAGGCCTTGAGCGTCGTCTTCTCTCCCTCCGCGTCGCATCGCGTTGCGTTCGACCGGCGTCGTCAGACGCAGAGTCGTGACGATGCGCCGCACGGCTGGCCGACGTGAATTCAGCTGGTGCCTTGCTGCGGGTGGTGCGGACGTGCGCCCAGTACACTCAAGGTTAAGCCATGTCATGTATCTCAAATGTCGCACTAACGGACCTCTGACGTGAAAGTATAGCTTTAAAGAGGCTTTTGTTTTTGCAAGCCGAACTTGAGACACTGTTGACGGAATGCAAGTTGTAAGAAGAACCGCTTGACGGCTGCCCGCTTGCGTTGCACCTGGTGTGCATGGCTTTTGAGAACCCCGTGGGTTAGTTCACGAGAATGGTTCTCGGTTCGATCATGTTCGATCTCTATTTTCCAGTTCCAGTGGCCAACGTGGTCACCCGGCGCTCGGGGAGCAGATGATCCGCTTATCGCCGGATTCAGCTGCTACCATAGGTAGCAGCTCTTTGCTTTTGAGCTGCTGCATGGAGTTAGTTCGCCATTGCAGCGCTTCGGACGTCATGAAAGGTCCAAAAAAGAGCAACTGAGCGAAAATCATAATTTCACTTGGAACTCGTAGAATGCACCGAAAAAATTGCGAAAAACCTTTTAGAACCTCAACGCATAGGCTCACGCGTCGCTCGGTGTTCTTCCGCCTAGGCTCCTTCGCTGGCGCTCGTGACTCGCGTCGGTGGCGCTCCCGCACTGTCGCGAAGGACACGTCGTGAAGGACAGAGACGACGACGGGACACGGCGCGGGCCGGTCGGGCGCGCGAAAACCGGCGCGTGCGATGTGATCGGTATATAATCCGATATAATCGAGTTTATAAGCATTGTATACCAGGAGCTTCAAAGTGACCTTTTGAGATCCTAGAATATGGTCACTTAGTCCTTAAAGAGGTCACTTAGAGACTCCAAAGAGGTCACTTTGAAGGTCCTGGTAAATGTCGCCACTATTCGCCACTCATATATAACTATGTCAACAGGCGACCGTGCAGGGACATTAAGGCCCGAGGTGGGAAAAAGGCTGCGCGGTGCGCAGCGCATGGGGCTACCGACATTGGTAGCGGAGCGGTAATAGACCGTCTCCTGTAGGTTTTTGTGGCGCGCTGGAAGCGTGCTGACCTCGCGACCGTGCAATGGAAGCTGGCACCTCTTTGCGCTATTTTAGTGGCGAAGACTGCGACCATAGAGAGTACAGAAGATGGAAACAATGGGCTTTGAACAAGATACGCACCATGGACAAGCTTCCTGACGAAGCCAGAGGCTCGTTCCTGTGGACGCTTCTGACCGGCCGTGCTCTGGAGGTGGTTGAGCATTTGAAGGAAAGTGACTACCAAGTCAAGGGCGGCGAGAAGACCATCCTCGACCTCCTTGACAGGAGATGGCCAGAGCTCGATCGCACAGACGAGATCGGCGAGAACATCGCCGATGTGTTTGCTCTCAAAGCCCGGGAAGGTGAGAGCATCCGACAGTGGTGCGCCCGCTCTCGGGAATGCTTCGACAAGTGTGCCCGCAAGACGGGCGTCAAGTTCCCAGAAGAGGCCCGTGGCTGGATCCTGCTCAATTGCAGCGGGATGAACGAGGAACAACGTGCCGTCTGTTTGGCAAGAGCCCAAGGTGAGCTGAAGTTCGACACACTCTCGCAGTCGATGCGGTCGTGCTTTCCGGAATACACCGTTCCGAAGAGACGAACCGCTGCAGCGCATGTCGTCGAAGACCAGCCCTCCAGTTCAGCTCATGAAGAACAGCGTGAAGACAACTTCCAGGACGTGGAGCTGTTCCTTGCTGAGCATGGGATGCACGATTCAGCTGACCTGGAGGACCCAGCTGAAGACGAAGGATATGATGAAGAGGCTGTCGCCGAGATTCTGGCCGCCACCTGGCGGGAGAAGCGAGCTGAGCTGAACATGGTCCAGAAGGGCCGGAAGTTTTCTGCTCCTGATCCTCGGCGAGCTGGTGGAACTGGAAAGGACTTCAAGCGTTCGTTCCGTGTCCAGGTTGAAGAGCTCAAACAACGTACACGCTGCCGTCGCTGTGGCAAGATTGGACACTGGCAGAGGGAATGCAAAGCCCCAGCCTCTGCAACCATTGGATCAGCGGCTTCTCAAACGAGTCACGCTGCTGGAGCCGTACAAGTTGTGGGGACTGAGCTGCCCGAGCATTTCATATGCACTGCTGCAGCCTGTCCTGAGACAGAAGTGTTGTTGGTGAGCAGCCCTGGTTTCGCAGTGTTGGACAGTGGATGTGGGAAGACCATTATTGGCCGTTCCACACTGGCGGCCTTTCAAGAGATCTGGCGCCGGCATGGAGTTCCACAGCCTGCGGAAAAGCCGGAACAGAACTGTTTTCGTTTTGGAAATGGTGAACAAGAAGTCAGCCAGACCATCGTGGATCTTCCAGTATTTTTGGCTGGACGTCCTGGCTATGTGAAAGCCGCCGTGGTGAAAGGGAAGGCACCTTTGCTTCTGTCGAGACCAGCTTTGCAAAAGCTGCAGGCCCGCTTAGACTTCGACCGAGATCGTTTGACCTTGTTCGAAGGTCAGTTCGAAGTGCCTCTGGAAGTGAACAGCGCCGGCCAGTACACGATTCCTGTCACGGCATTTCCACCGAATGCTCAAGCCCTGTTTCCTGCGGCGCCCATGGTTGAGCCGACTTCGAATGAGTGCCACTCGGTTCAATATGATAGAAACCCCAAGAGATTGAAGGATTTCTGGGAATTTAGGCCGCAGGATAGGACTGTCATTCGGCATCACGTCAAGCCAAGGACCACCCTGTTCACCCCAAAGAATACACAGTGTCCAGTTCCGATTGATCAGCTACAGCCTGACCGCACTACTAAGCTAGATAAGCCAGCTGACGTCCTCAGGGACCATCGTGATTCGTGGGTTGAGCCTCACTGTGCACACTCCAAGCATGACAGTCGCCCGTGGACGGGTAAGACTGTGTTTCGCCTGTTGACCCACGCTGCCGTTCCTCGACTGCCCGATGCCCAGGAAGAGCAACTCAATATCATGCATTGGAAGGCCAAGCAGCACCGTCAGCTGATGGCACAAGTGACCGCGCCGTCCAAACAAACCGAACAGTTGTACGATGTGATCGAAGTGTTTTCTCCTCCTAGGTTCGGTCTCGAAGGGGCAAAGTCCGGGTTGCGGGTTCTGTCCGCCGACCTGTGCACAGGCTGGGACTTCCGACGCCGAGCTGATCGTGAACAGCTCAAGCATCATGTCCAGGTCAGTAAGCCGAAGCTCCTTGTGTGTTGTCCACCATGTACATGGGCAGGGGGATGGTGGCATTTGAATAAACAGAACATGACGGACAGTGAAGTTAGGGAACGTGAAACGTGGACCAACCTGTTCATTCGCTTTTGCTGTGAGTTGATGGAATTGCAAAGCCAATTGGGTGGTCAATGTTTGTTCGAACATCCAAGAGATTCAATAGCATGGCGTATGCCCTCCATGGAACGCCTGGCCAAGAACATGTATTGTGTGAGTGTTGACATGTGTTGCTACGGCCTCCGCATTCCAGGTGGCGCCTTGATCCACAAGGCCACTCGACTGATGGTATCTCATCCGGAGATGCGAGCCCTAGCGAAGTGCTGTCCAGGTCCGTCACATGCCAACCACAGTCATCATCAGGTCATTGCTGGAAGCCATCCAAGGGTAGGGTCAATCAGTAAGCATGCCGCTCAGTACACTCCAGCCTTTGTCAAGGCAGTGTTAAGATTAGTAAAAGGCCTGCCGTCTACCGAAACACTCGTCGTTCTCCATGATCACAACCAAGAATGCCTTGTTGCACACACCCTCCATGAACTGAATCAAGAACCCCAGGAAAAGATCGTGTCCAGTCTCCGCCGGTTGCACAATAACTTAGGTCATCCAACTAACCAACAGTTGGTAAGGGTCCTGAAGCATGGTGGTGCATCCGACGCGGCCTTGACAGCAGCACGCGATTTCCACTGCGATCATTGTGCAGCCCAGAGGAGTCCCAAGGTAGCCCTTCCTGCACAAGTCCACCGAGTCGTAGAATTCAACGCAGTAGTTGGGGTTGATGTCAAATATCTCATGGGGTGGAGTCAGGGTCAAAGAATTCCAGCAGTAAACATGGTTGATTACGGGAGCTCACTGCAAATCGTGGTCCCCATATTCCGAAGAGAAAATGCTACTACCTTGAAGCAGGTGTTCATGGAAAGATGGGCCTCATGGGCAGGCATGCCATCCGAGATCATTTGTGATCCGCACCGTGCCAACATCGCAGATGCTTTTTCGTCCATCCTTGAACAGGGCGGCGCCACGTTTAAGCTGACTGCGGCCGACGCCCATTGGCAGTTAGGTAAGTGTGAAGTGCACGGGGGTTGGTTTGGCAGGATTCTAGATAAGATTCTGTCAGAACACGTGCCGAAAAATCAAGATGAATGGTTGGAATGTGTCAATGCCGCTCATTGCAAAAACCAGTTGATACAGGTGTATGGCATGACCCCATCACAGTTCGTGTTCGGCAAGAATCCCAGGGTCCCAGAAAATCTCCTCGATGAACCCCTAGAAATAGTTCCGGCAACAGCTTCTCTGTATGAGGATGCAATTGCTAGGCAGGTGGCCATCCGACAATCAGCCAGAAAGGCAGTGCTCGAACTTCAAGACGACAAGTCACTCCGACTTGCCTTGTCTGCCAGACCTCGAACTGCCCAAGCGCTCCAACCGGGAGCATATGTGGCCTTCTGGCGATCACAGAAGTGGATCCATGGCTCACTTGAGAAGACTGGCCGCTGGTATGGACCGGCGGTGGTGTTGGGTTACGTAGGTAAGAACCTTGTAATCATCCACAAACGCCAGATCTTTCGGTGTGCTCCGGAACAGGTTCGGCCGTCTACCCAAGACGAATTGAAGCTGGTCGAAACACCTCACATGGAGTTTTTGGGGATCAAACATTTGATTGAATCAGGGCAACTAGAGAGTAGGCAATACATTGATTTGGTTCCTGAATCGTATCCTAGCTTGCCACAGGCTATTCCTGCAGAGTCTCAAGAGGATGGCTCCAGGTCTGATTCAATCACGGATGGTCCCGGACAGCCTCAATCGGTCGCTGAAAGACTTCGACGATCACCAGTGCCACCAGACGTTATCATGACAGAGGGTTCGAAGCCTTCTAATGAAGCCAGCGAGTCAACTTCTGTGACCGACAAGGCAACCGATTTTCGCGAAGCTGAGCCGGTAGTCGAACATGTCCGAAAGCCCAAAGATGGTGTGCCCGAGCCTCCGCCTCATGCGGATGAACTTGATCCAAGCACCGGCTATGGGCCAGCCAGGCCGACACGCCGACGTCTTCACCAGAAAGACGGACCCGCAGCTCTATACCGGCCGAGTCGTATGGTGACCGAAGACTTTCAGGAAATGATGCAAGAAATTGTTCCTGAGCTCTTGAATCGAGTCATGCAAGAGACTGATTCATCATCCAACTTGGAACCGGGAGAGCCGACAGCCGTCCATGCGTCTCCTCAGGGTACCAAGCGAGCCGTCGATGAATCAACTAGCTCCGAACAGCCAGCACCAAAACGCATAACACCAGACACCGACATGGACGAAGATTTGTACGTTCAGCATGACAGCCAAACCTTTGCCAAGGATGAACTCGCTGTTTGTTCGGTTGAGGTGTTGCAAGCACAATGCTATAATGCTAAGGAGCATGACCTATCCCGTCAAGATGTGAATCATTTGGTGGATATGTACAAAGAGGGGGCTTCGTTTGATGTGTTGGTTGCAGCCTATCTCAAGAAGAAGGCCTCCAAAGAACTTCCTCCAACAGGACATCCCCGGGAGATTCAACTCAAGATTGACGAAGCTAAGTTACTAGAGTGGAACACCATCTTAGCCAAGCATGCAGCGAGACTTGTGATCGGACCGGAAGCTCAAGCCGTCCGCAAACACATGAGTCATCGAATCATGGGTAGCCGATATGTAATCACTATCAAACAGGAAGACGATGCTGCCCCAAGAATGAAGGCTCGCTGGTGTTTGCAGGGTCACCTTGATCCAGATCTTAGTGAAAAGGCCATGCAGGGTGATCTTCAAAGTCCGACATTATCTCAAGTAGGACGAAACATGTTGTTTCAGCTCATTGCATCAAACCATTGGCCCATGGCCTTAGGGGATATTAAGGGGGCATTCCTGGCAGCAGGCGACCTGCCCGCTAGATACCGCCCACTCTTTGCCAGCCTTCCAAGAGGGGGTATCCCCGGAGCGCCGGAAGACGCGCTGATCGAGATTGTTGGACATGTTTACGGACTGAACGACTCGCCATCGGCATGGTACAAGAAGCTACAACAAGAACTGCTCAGAGTTGGTTTCGAACGATCTCGTTTCGACGCATGCCTGTTCTATTTTCGTGAAAACGAGAAGCTCACTGGGGTGTATGGTGTTCACGTCGATGACTGTGTGACCGGGGGAGAGGGATCGAAATACCAAGCAGCCATCCATGAACTTCAAAAGACTTTCGAGTTTCGCAAATGGAGACAGGGTTCCGGCGACTTTTGTGGAAGCCAATATACGCAGGATCCCAACACATTTGAAATCATCATGAGTCAAGAGAAGTTCACCCAAAAGATCCGTCCTTTGCACCTCAGCCGAGAACGGGCGCGTGATCGAGAGGCGCCTTTAGATGACAAAGAAGTAAGCTGTTTGAGGGCCATCAACGGAAGTCTAAACTGGCTAGCAAATCAAACGAGACCTGACTTGGCAACTCAAGTTTCATTTTCTCAGCAATCGTTTCCAAAACCCACTATAGGTGATGCCATTGCTGCCAACCAGGCAATCCGACGGGCAAAACAGCATGCCGAACAGGTGATCCGTTTCTGCCCCATCAAACCGGAGAGCCTGGCCTTGATGTGCCACTCAGATGCTGCTTTTGCAAACGCCAAGGCAGGTGCGACTCAAGCAGGGTATGTAATCAGTTTTGTTCATAAAGATATCAATGAAGGAAAAGATTGTTGCTGGTCCCCCGCCTTTTGGAAAAGTGCACGACTTCCACGGGTCGTGAGCTCGACCTTGAGCGCTGAAGCCCAGAGCATGTCCACGGCATCAAGCATGCTGGAGTGGGCGAATCTCCTTTTGTCCGAGGCGATAGATGGCCCCAGGTTGTCACAAAGCCTTTGGAGTAGCTTAGGTAACAGACTGACCCTGCTAGTTACTGACTGTAAGTCCCTCTATGATCACCTCATGTCACCATCCGCACCATCATTGGATGATCGACGGACTGCAATCGACATAGTCATCCTCAGGGATAGCATCCAGAGAATGAAGGCCACTCTCCGGTGGATTCCTACAGACAGAATGCTAGCCGACGCCTTAACGAAAGAGAGCCCAGAAGCTTTCGACCTGCTCCGAGCGTCGCTCCGGTCGAGCCGGTATCAGATCAGTCCTGAAGAACTGGTCTTGCAGAGAAGAGCCCAAGAGAGAGATCGCAGAAAACTGTTCGCTGCTAAGTGTCACCCACCATATGTAGACACAGGTCAAGATGTTTAGTTTGATTCGTGAGCTTTTGATGTCTTAGTCTCAGGTTGAGTATGAGTACTCAGGAGTGAGGTCAGGCGTAGGGTAGGAATCAGTTGCACTTGATCTGTGATTGAAGCACACCACCACCGTTCGAGCCGAGGGTCTATGTTGTATAGAACATGGTTTAGTCTTGAATATCACTCCGAGTCTTTCTACGATAGTCGGCATAAGCACGTTCGATCGTATGGATGTTTGTTGAATTGCCCTGTTGTTTTGGATTCAAGCAAGTGACTCGGACAGTCACAAGAGATTCTCCTGTTTGCCACTAAGTGCACCTTGTCTGACGACCGTCATGTCAGCTGCTAGTGCCACCGTGAAGATGACCCAGGCAGAGTCCGAAGAGTGCTTCAAGCTTGTGCTGAAAGCACGCCAGTGTGGAGTATGGGACGAGATCCTGCGCCGAGTTCGAGATTATGAAGACATCCTTCTGGATGAAGCATGGTTGGGTGAGAAATCCGGCCCCATGAGCGACGGTGCCAAGCGTTTGAGGGATGAGAAACCTTGCTCAACCGCTCCGACTTACAGCGGTGGATCCATGGCCTTGGCCACAGCTGCCCCGATGCCATCGACAGCAAAGATGCCCGGCACTCCGTACGCCGAAGCTGACAAGTACCCACCAGGCATTTCCAGCCTTGAGCAATGGGGAAAGTGCATGATTGCTTTTGGTAAGTACAAGGGAGCCTTGTCGTATTCTGAGCTGTTCGAAGGAACCGCCGACGGAATGGCTGGGTACCGTGCCTGGTGCCTGAACCATGCTCAGTCCGGCTCCGCTGCTCTCAAGGACTTGGTTGCGTACCTTGAGATTCGTGGTTCGAGCACCGGCGGAAGCCAGGATGTGATTCCCGGATCCTCCATCACGAGGACTTTTAAGAGTTGATTAGGAGTGTCAACAGGCGACCGTCCAGGGACATTAAGGCCCGAGGTGGGAAAAAGGCTGCGCGGTGCGCAGCGCATGGGGCTACCGACAACTATATATATATGTAACTATAATTATAATCTCGATAACACCAAACATAACCACAACACACACATAATACTTGACAACACAGCAGGATCAAAAAGGCAGAAGACAACAGACAATGAGACACAGAAAGGCAACACCGTGACACCTAGTGTAACTACAACACCGTGACCCAGGGACTGGTTGTCCTACCAGTGTCCTGTTGCTGGGGGATAGTTCCATGCGTAGTTTTGAGATCGGTTCTTTAAGTATCAATCTGAAATGTATTGTTTGTTTCAACTCTCTTTGCAGTGTTTTTCTTCATTTTTGTTGGGGGGTCTTTTCTTTCATGCTTGTCACAATTTGTCACATGTTTTGTCTACATTGGGAACTCGAGCACAGTGAGCTGTCCAGAGGAGCAAGATCCACAGCCCATGCACCGTCCACCCTGGTGCTGGAGGTTTGATATGGAAGCATGGTAGTTGGTGAGAGACATGCAGAACAGAGGTATATCTCAAAACATCGCAAAACCAATTTCTTGAATTCGTTGCGATTACGACCTACGCATTCCAATGTGTGTTTATTTGTCCAGACTCCTGCTTCCAAACATGAGACAGTCAAGACAGCATCCATTTTGGGGATTTTGAACCATAACACACCAACAGAGGTTGAAGAACCCTATAGACTATCCTATAGCTAGCCCAGTAGGGCCCTATAAGGTCACTTAACCTCTGTTGGCACTTGTGTACCATGTGGACGTACGTGGTTTCCAACTCATGTTGGACCGACCTCGGTCGAGGTCCGCACGGACGGTGTTGGGTTCGACCGTTCAATCCGAAGTGTCTCCGATCTACCGAGGTCGCCAGTGACCTGGTGGTTTTGGACCCGTGTTTTTGTTTGATTTGGGGTACCGGTTCCTGGGATCGTCGAACTAGGGTTGAAAACCTCTGGAAAGTGTTCCGACTTTCTTTGAGCGTTCGACAGGACGTGATTGCCCAGATCCAAGCAGCAGCAGCGACCCCCGTCGGCTATGCAACGGAGAACGCTTCGCCTCGCTTGCGAAGCGCGGCGCTTTATGGCATCGCTATTCCCTACAAGTCGACCTCATGAAATACTGGACATACAAAAACCAATATCTTAAGGAGGTAGTCTAGACCAGGTTTTACTGGGTCTTTGGACTTGTAGGGCATTGTTTGCTTGAATTCTGATAGGACCCTGTCTCATGGTTGGCAATGTGCTGACTTGCGCCCTGCTGGATGGTGAACGCATGGTATATATATATATATACAGTGCACTTGCATTCAAAAGGACTTGTTAGATTCAGAACAGAAATGCGCGAAACCGAATCAGAAGCACACATAAGAAGAACATTTCGATCAGAGGTACATTGAGTACTGTACATATTGGTGGAAGTTCTGCACACTGCTCGCGCTGCATGCCTTAGACACTTCGACGGTCGCGCAGAAGCAGAATGGAACTGACTAAACTGACGAAGCAGAAGGGAGTGCACAAGAGAGGAACATAGAACGTAGAAAGAAACTGACAAAGCACCTTCAATTGCCTGATGACTGCACAGCTTCAGGGATGTGAGCTTCTCTACAGCGAGGAGAGAATAGCAAAAGCGAATGTCAATGCATATCAAACAAATTAACATATATATATATATATAGAAACTCGCCCCAGAAGCGAGCCTTGCAATTCACTGTTTGATCCCGGGCATTTTATGTTCAGGGGTTTTGAGCGCTGTTCAGGTGTTTCTTTTCTTTCCAGCTGTTCCTACAGGTGAAGTTGATTCAGCTTAAGAATCGCAGGATTGAAGCCTCGAAGCAGAAAAGGGGCTCCTTCCTCAAAGCATGGGCATGGACTCCACCTCAATCCACTGTGCCGCACATGAGTTGCACAAACGCTTTCATTTCAAATTGTGTTTGATGAATGTCGAACACCCATCAACGTTTAGCAACTAAGTTTCTCAGATGTTGCAGAACCAGTTTCCAGGCACTAGTTCCCAAACAGTTGTTTGATGTTGGTTTTCCTGAAGAGCGTATTGAATTGCTTCTCAAATCTTGCATTTGGTGGCACTTCTGATCTGATTTCTTCCACCTTGGCATACCTGGGCCGCATTTTCGATCGCGGCTTCAGCACCTTCCGTTTTCCGCATGGCGTTCCACATGGCGTTGAACGCTGCGAACCTGGCGCCGGCGAACACCGGAACGCTTGCGGAAGCGCTCTCCTCGCCCTTGCCGAATGCGCGCCCTCCCAGGATCGAGTCGCCGAGCTTCAGCTGTGTCGCCACGTTTGGTGGTGCCAAACCAACAGAGGTAGCCAGGTGGCCTGAAGGACCTGGAATACCTGGGGTACCAGACACTCCATCATGATGGAAATGGATGGAATGCATACATTAACCCCCCCAAATAATCAAATACCTCAATGTGGGCAAAGATTGCAGTCCCATTTGTTATGTTTGCCAAGAGAGGTTCAACAGCCCTTTGTCGCCCATCCCATATGTACCACTAGAGGGTCCTATATGGTCTCTCAACCTCTCTTGGTGGGTAGGGATAGTCGAACTACGTAGGGTTCATGTCCCATATCCTCAGAAGGTGGTTAGACCCCCCGAACCCACCCCAACCATCTTCGAAACGGAGGTGGGCCAGGAGCCCTACTATAGATCATGTAAGGCACACCACTCGCTTTGGGCTGAAGAAAAATCGCTCAGATCGGGCTCACGGTCCGGTCGACGGTACGGTCGAAGCTTGACGGTCTCTGACGGTCCATGTGGAACGCTCGTCCCGGTCCCGCTGGAGGAACCACAAGTTGCTAAGCAACGAGACTGGCGTCGGGAGGAACGCATTGGTTTTATAGCAGGGTCGAAGAAGAGGGAGGAAGTGCAATTTCATGGTTTAATCTGCTGTGGAGATATAGAGTCACATTGACATAGTGAACAACTGGATTCTATGTTTAAAACAATCACAACATGAGCACGCGGTGAACGTATGTATGTTAGTGCGAACGTATGTGAACGTCAATCTTCACCAAATCATGTTCATCAGCTATTCCAACCCCAGACACTCCATGTATGCCATATATGCCAATCAACCGACCCCCCAAACCACCCCAATGTAGGCATATATGACATATATGGAGTGTCTGGGAACACATGTTTGATTCAATTTGAGACACTCGCGTGGGACGGACCGTCGTGTCGGACCGACGTGTCCGGTGCCAGGAGGATGGCATCCGGTGGGCCGATGAGGCACGGAGCTGCGGATGGCCGGATGGGGCGTTTGGGCTTGATTGGGATCGGCCCAGAATCCACGAACACAAGATCAAGGCGGAGGTCTGGGAACTGGGAGCATCTAAAAAGCCGCATGCGTCGAATTCTGTATCGTTTCTAGTACCCCAGGGTACTTGGAGTGTGGATGTCTCTTGCTTTGACGACCTGCCGCATTTGAAATCGATGGACCATCGGACGAGCAGTCTGGCAGTGCCTGGCAGTGGTGAAGGGCCCTGTGAGTTGGAGCCACCTGGGCGTGGTTTTGGCACGTACATGCTTGCCGTCTCATTTCAGCATGTTGGTGGAGGATTGGCAGGCAAATGAGAGAAGTCACTGCAGGCGGTACCAACACGTTTTGCTTGTTGCAATTACAATCGTGTGTATATATAATAGAGGCGCAGAAACATGTTCCAAGGTTCAATTGCCAAAGCACCCTGGAATAACAAGCATTGTGTTGGTGATGTACGAGTTTTCGCTTTCAACAATGCTGATCAAAGACAAACGCCGCTTGGACAGGCGTCCTGCAACTGCTGTGGCTTTGCTGGTCCTTGTCAGTGCCCTGGACTGGCTAGTTGAGGATTACATCGGGCTATGTCATTGTTGACGATGTGATCTTCAAGATTCCCACGGAGACAAGGTGTTCAACTTGCAAGCCATTGATGATCAACATATTGATGATCCAGAATCATCAAAGAACTGGCAACTAGATGAGGAACATGATCAACCACCAACCATGAGGGTTCCACCGATTCCACCGGCAAAGTCCAAGAACCACTGAGGTTGTGCGGTTCTTTCCGAGGCTTGTGCCAACCGAATCCGAGTCAAAACCTGTAAAACTCTCGAACTGCGGAGGCCGTGAAGCTGGGGCCGGGTGACCTGGGTTGACCTGGTTCGCATGGTTCGCATCATAGATGGAGCGTTTGGGGCATGGGCATGGCATCTTTTCCTACATTGACCCTTCAAAGATCTGGACACCCTCCAAAGATCATGGACCCAATCTATAGGTACTGAGTTAGGTACTGTAATCATTCCAGTTGCATGCACTCTTTGGGATCGGATTTTGGTTGTACCATCGACCCACCCGCAGCCTTCCAGCTAGCCCACCCAGGACCCCGCCGTCGGCAGCTTCGTGTCACGCGCCGCCCAGCGGCGCTGCTGGAGGGCACCCTGACGGCAGTCGCTTAGCCGGCAGAGCAGAGGGGCGCAGACGACAAGATGGCGCCATAGGGTCAAAACTGGGAAACCTTGTTTCGCACGACTTGCGAACGTTTTTTTTGGAGCGCTTTGCTCCCTGTGGCTTTGATAACCTGTACTGTACTTGCCATTTGGTTACAGGTTGAGCCCTGAAGATGAAGAGAACAGACTACAAGGGAGGTCAAGCTACCAGGGATTACGGCTCGAACTCGCGGGCGAACGCAGTTTTTGTTGCACCCCTTGCTCATGTGAGCGGGTATGAGAGACGAAGTGAAAATACAAAATACATACATACTATATCATACTATCAACATCTATCAACTACCAGGGATTAGGGCTTTGGGTGTTGACCCACAGCCATATGACCTACATGAAAACCACCAAAAACCAGCAGTCATGTAGGCCATAGAAATGCGCCACCATGGATCTTCGCAATCGGTAGAAGATGGTTGGAACATGAACCCTCGGATTT